ACATTGGTAGAAGAATGTTAGAGATGGAGCTACCAGGTAGGAGAAAGAGAGGAAGGTCAAAGAGGAGATATATGGATGCAGTGAGGGAGTACATGCAGATAGTTGGAGTCAGAGTAGGAGATGCAGAGAACAGGGACAGATGGAAATCAATCATTTGCTGTAGCAACTATTGAAAAAAGTTGAAAAACAAATTTTCAAAAACAAGATTTCACAAAAAAAAATTTCAAAAAACTCTTTCAAAGAAAATTTTTCAAAAAACATTTATCAAAAAAAAAATTTTTTCAAGAAAATTTTCAAAAAAAATTTAAGAAAAAAATTTTCAAAAAAATTTTTTTCAAAAACAATTTCAGAAACATTTTTTTCAAAAAAATATTTTTAAGAAAACAATTTTTCAAGAAAAAAAATTTCAAAAAAAAAAAAGAGAGGAAGGCCAAAGAGGAGATATATGGATGCAGTGAGGGAGGACATGCAGATAGTTGGAGTCAGAGTAGGAGATGTAGAGAACAGGGACAGATGGAAATCAATCATTTGCTGTGGCAACTCCTGTAAAAAGTTGAAAAAACATTTTTCAAAAAACATTTTTCAAAAAAACATTTTTCAAAAAAAAAAATTTCAAAAAAATATTCAAAAAAATTTTTAAAAAAATATTTTCCAAAAAATATTTTCAAAAAAATTTTTCAAGAAAAAATTTACAAAAAAATTTTCAAAAAAAAATTTCAAAAAACTTTTTTCAAAAAATTAGCTACTCCTGTAGCAACTCCTGAAAAAAAAAAAAGGGACAAAGCGGAAAGAAAAAAAAGAAGTTGATAACCAGAGTTGGAAAATATCGAATTACATGTAGTGGTGTTACTGTAACTGATTCGTTTTCTGTGTTCTTATACTGTTCAAAAGACTTATAAAAACCCATAATTTTTTTTTTCTCAGCTCCACCCTGTTAGGTGGGGTATTGGAGTCAAAAGTAAAACTGTAAACAATCATTAAGATTCTGGTGGGTTGTTGTGGCCCCCGGTCAGAGCAGTTTCAGTCACCTGCCTCTTTGTTGTGTGAAACTCAGGTGTATCTTTTGGGTGTTGTTCCTAAAAGTGTTTTGTTTGTGTTTTGTATGTTTACTCCTCTCTCAAACCATCTGTCTTCTTACATTGTTGTCCTCAAATTAGTGGGTTTTGTCTTAGGGGTGTTTGTGAACAGCTGAGTCCTGTCCTGAGGAGTTGGCCCTCCTGGGTTGGGCCATGGTGGGTTGGTCTCCCCAGTGTTCAGGTCTGTAGACTCCTCACTGCACTGAATGGCATAAACCACCTTGTCCAACTTTTTCCCTGGAGTCTTGTCTTCGGGATGAACCAGTTTTTGTCTTAGGTTGTTGCCAGGTTTGAAATGTATGGGGATCTGGTGTTGGTTAAAGATCCTCCTAAGTTTTTCCGAAACTCCTGAAATGTATGGAATGATGACATTCCCCCTCCTCCTCTTGTCCCTCATCTGTGGACATGTTTTTATTCGTAAATGCGCGTAAATTTATGGGATTATTTACATTAAAATGACACTTTATACCTCCTACATGACTTAAATGTCGTGTGTCGACATATTCTCCAGTGATTTATAGATTTTTTTTGTTAGCCTATACAGCATATATTGGGGCGTGTATCGACAAGAGTCTTGACAGTAGATATCACGGGTGATATCACGATATATGGCAATATACTTTATATATATTTAAATGATATATGTATGATCTTTCGCTGTGAACCGTTGGTTGCTACAGTTACGTAAACTCGATGACCGCGGTGCCGTTTGCGGTCATTCGCAGTGCTGCAATTGGTCAGTGACAGCCAGTAATTTAACTGAAGTTTATCCAAGAGTTCCCGTTTGTAGCCGTCCAAGATGGCGACGGGCCTTACCACGGTAATCGGGCAACAATTCTGGAAGTTAGCTACTGTTAGTTCACAAAAGTTAGCCACAGAAAGATGTTAAAAATATATAGAGAGACATTTCTGGAAGCTGATAGAATAATCAGTATTGAGCAATGACAGTCACGTGACTTGTCAGTGTTTTTACAGCTGTGTACTTTTCGAGACTGAAACACTGTGAGCTGTAAATGTTGACAAAAGGTGTGGCATTTAGGAAAAAGGTTTTATACCTTTGAACGTGACATCACGTTGCTCCTGAGGTGAAGGTGAAGAAAAACTAGTAAAAGTCCTTTAAGGTACTAATACAAGAAGTTACTGGAAACTCAATGAGCAAATTAATTTTTAAGCAGCATTTCTTTAGTTTTATATCCATTCATTACAGGGTCTCGCTATAAAAAAACAGTAGTTTAGAAATATTTTACTACCTTTACAGAATTCTGACTAGTCAGTGTCTCTGACTTCTTCAGAGATTTACAGGCACATTATTTAAAAAAATATATATAATTATTTATACAGAAAATAAATAAAGTTTTTCAAATGAGGCTGAAATGTTGAAAATACTACTACAAAAACACACCCCTATTTGCAGCCATGAAAACACTGTTGTGAAACCTACACGTTTAGACCTTAAAGAACCTCTACAGATTCTTTTTTTTTCTGTTCATTATTGCACAGTGTCTTTTCATTACTTTAGGTTTGCAGCATCCTACAGAAGGATTGCACTGGTCCAATCCCCTTGTGTCTTTCAGGGAAGCGTCTATCAAAATGCAGAAATATTCAGCAATACCTGAAATGTTTGTAATTTACCACAAGCTTTGGCAACAGCGTATGTTTCAGCCTCAGGTCACTGCGGCGACTGTTTTTGTGCATTACTTGGAAATTCTGCTGAAGTTGTGTAGCAACACCGCAGCAGGGTCATGGACACGAACACAGCTCTGTTTTCTGACTTCATGAATCATCTGTTTGCCAGAGTCCAGGAAGAAAAAACGTTTTTGAACAATGAGTCTCTGAGTCTTATATGGTATTCACGATAACAAAGACGTGGGAGTCAAAGTAGAGACGTGCAGCCGTCCTTTGGTTTATGGCCCTCATAAGGAAACAGGGCAGAAAATAACTAATTAGGTGATTACCAGAACAGTAGTTACAACAACCAGGAAAAAGTCAATCCTGCTGATAAAACATGGCCTGGATTTTCTTTCACGGAAATTGTTTACTAGATGACCTAAAAACCCCAGGAGTCCGACTTCCTCTTTCACTGGACACAGTTCATGACATTAAATACATAAATAAAAATACTGAATAGAATATAATTGAATATATTTATCTGTTTTTTGTACAGCCATATATATATATACGTATATACAGTATATGGCTGTACAAACACTGATTGAGCTAATGTTATGCTAAATTTCCTGTTCCTAAGTTTTTAATCAGAATTGTTGTTGCTTTTCCCCCGTTGTCATGACAACTTTAAAGCGGTGTTTTCAGCTGTAGCTTTGGCTAAGCTACCTTTGGGTTTTTTGGCCCAAGCTTAGTTAATACTTTTGGTTTGACAAAACTCAAATAACCAAAAATTAACCCAGTTAAATTGAGTGTCTTTTCAGCAGTTGACCTATTATCAACAAAAACTTTATTTTCCTCGATCACCGTGACGACATGGTGAATTTGAAATAAGAAACCCATTTGTTGCAGCAGCTGGTTTGACTCACGGCAGCACAACAACAATAAGGAAGTTCAACACCAAGATGAACGTCGTCGCTGTCAAGTTCTTTGTTTGGTTGCACAGAAACTCGTTCAAGCTAACCAGAGGATTCTGAAAAATCTCAACCTGCCGAGGTCTCGGTACAGAATGTAACAGAGTGTGAACGACAAAGTCGACCCTATAATTATCGCTTGTTGATCTTCTATATGGACTGTGGACGTACAGTTCATCATGTGAAATGTCAAACATTGTCAAACATTTCCACGCTCCGGTGAAAAAGAACGCAGTGGAAACAAAAAGTTTCACTCTGACTGCTGAGTGCTGTCACTCTCATCTGTTATAACAGCTTTTTGTGTCTTTGTAGTAACGCCTCTCTGCAGCTGGAGCTCGGTCACCTGTGGGCCGGACAGGAAGTGCAGATGAATCCAGTCAATGTCAAACTCATCTGTTAGCGACGACGGGTAAACATTAAGTCGTAGTTAGAAGTCGTCGATTACATTAACAGCCTTTCAACCATGTCTCAAACTTAAGGCCGGGGGGCCAAATGCAGCCCGCAAAGTCACGTTGTATGGCCCGCAGGAGTTTTTTTAACCCGACTCCGCCCGGCAACTGGATTCCAAAATTGTGAGGATTGAAGAAAAACTATCGTGGGGTTTCCAACTGACAAAAACTTGAACTAATCATTTCATTCGTTTTACAGCAGGTGGCGCTTTAGCCCTATTGTGGGCGTTGTAAAGGAGGCTGCGGTTCTCCAACACTAAATACTGAAGGCAACATGGTTTACTTCCGCTGACAAAGTCTACAAAGTACACGAAATGCCATAAGCAGTTAAAACCATGTGAAAATATAAGAAATAAAAACACAGCACGATGTGAAGATGAATTGGAGCAAAAAAGACCCGAGTTCTTTCACGTGACAAATGAAACGAATCTGCGAGAACGAAGCGAAAGATTAGTTCACAGTGAAAGATATTGAAAGAATTTGAAATAAGGCGTCTCCAGTGATGTGAAAACACAATTGTTGCAGCAGCTGGTTTTGATTCACGGCAGCACAACAACAATAAGGAAGTTCAACTTTCTTTGTTTGGTTGCACAGAAACTCGTTCAAGCTAACCAGAGGATTCTGAAAAATCCCAACCTGCCGAGGTCTCGGTACAGAATGTAACAGAGTGTGAACGACAAAGT